GGGACCGGAAGGCACCAGAGCTCCGTGAGAGAGACCACAGCAGCGTGTCTGGCTGACTAGCATGGTGAGTGAGGTCAGTGTGACCAAACCTGTTGCTGTTGAGTGGATTCCAACTCATAGCAACCCTACAGGACACAGTAGAACTGTCCCATAGGGTTTCCGAGGTAGATTCAAATAGCCAGCCTTCTGGCTAGCAATCAAGCTCTTGACCACTGCACGAGTAGGGCTCCCTGACCACCTCAGAGGGGGCCAATATGAGCTGACAGACTACTAAGGGGCATCGACAAGCTCCCTGCATTGTATTTTCTACTCTGTTTCATTGTTTTATTCTATGAAGAACCAGGCTATACTTGTGTAAGGTTTACCTTGTCTTCCTAAAATACTTTTGTGCTTATTGTAACTACAAGGAATATTGCCTCACATACATTCCTTTTTTCTGCCGCGTCCCTAAAATCGTTACGTTGCCACACTATGACACATAAATCTACAGTATATCCAATAACTCACATCGTTTACTCCCGGTAAAAGATAATCCTGTGGAAGGAATAGACTCTTATTCAGCCAGTACCTTTATGTATTTATATAATCTTGAAAAAGTACTTTAAAACAATATGAAATTCTTTTATTTAATAAATTAGTATCTGTCCTAGCATCTGGAAGACAAATTTTCGCACTCATTGTTAATACGGGCTTTGCCAACTAAATTCAAAATGCAACATTTTAGAGATTTAAATACCATTTCTGTATTATTATTTGCTGACTTTAAATTCTTGTCAAATGCATTTTGTAGTAAATGTGCCCCATTCTTCTAGATAAACTGGCCAGCTGTCTTACAAAGAAGTGCTTCTAAGGAGGTTATAGAAAACAACCTAAAGAAATTGTAGCTATAAGTCTGAGGACCAACATATCAAAGTAGAATTTTTTTTTTTTTTAGTAATACTTAATCCTACATATCTCAGCATAAATGATTCCATTTTTTAAAAAATAAATGATTTTGGGCATTGAAAATTATCTGCAGCCACTAAAAATAATGTTTACAAATAGGTCATAGTGGTTTCAGGAAAAGCCAATGACATGATAAAAGCAAAAAGTAGCATATGGAACTGAACAGAATGGGAGCACTCGGCATGTATAAAACACGGGTGGGCGGGCGGTAAACTAGGAGGAAATAACAATGGTAAAACTCAGGACAATTCTGTCTGTCTCTTGATGCTTTCCAGAACCTTCCATGTTTTCTATAATGAGCATAAATCTCCCCTTTTTCTTTATACATTTTTAAGGTAATATATGCTCATTGTAACAGTGAATTTCTTTTAACATCAGAAAAAAAAAAAAGTAAAAAGCTAAAACCGTAAAGCTCAGTTAGGGTCTGCTCTCAAGGAATTCACCAGCTTAAGAAATGATGCAGCTGAAAATGTAAACAGCCTCAGAGAAACTGAGATGGATCCACAGTTGGGTCAAGGAGCAGGAAGGGATTCGTGTTTACGGAGCACCAACCACAGGATAATTTATACACAGATAATTTATACACATTTCCTCTCATTTAGTCCCCACAATAATCCCATGAGGCAGATACTATGATGATTCTCTTTTAACACATACAGAACTGGAAGCTCAGAGCAGACAGAGATTTCTCCAGGGTCACACAGTGAGTGCAGCAAGCAAGATTCAAGCCAGGTCTTTCTGGGCTGCAGCAACCAAGATCTTATCCTTGCATGGTGATGCCTCCAGAACAAAACAGCAGCAGCAGCACCCCAATCTCAGGGCCACTGGAGGTCCATAGGGGCTTGTCTGATCTATAATGGAGGCTGAACCCCAGTCTGCCTTTGCCCTTCTTCCCTGGCCACCCCCCTGCCACACACACACACACTCAAAGTCCTTTCCTTTCCACCCACACTGTGTCTGCCACCCCATGTCCCACTGCAATAAATGTCCAGGCTCAGGAGAATGATATGGCATCCATCAGGCCCTGGCCAAGGGAGGCACTAGCACCCTCACAAAGTACAGCCACAGGAGCACCTGCCCCAGGCAAGGGGGAAGGAGCCTTTGAGCACTGCTCCACCCCTCCCAGAAGCCCCTAGGGGCTGGCTCCTCCCACTGCTCCTCCCATCCCTCCTAGGCATCCAAGGGCTATGCAAGGTCACAGGTAACAATGTGCATCTCTCCCACATGGCTCATAAGGTGAAAACACATGCCAACTTTTAACTAGCACACATTCTCGGGCAGCATGCAGCCCACCAACAGCACCTGGCCAGTGCACCTCTGGCCAGACAGCTGTCAGCCATCAGAATCTAACTCCCTAGTTCCATGTGCACACACAACACACACTCACTCACTCTCACACCCTTCGAAGAGCGGGTCAGCCTGCCATCCTTGCAGCCTAAGACATTTTGCCAGCTATACAAATAGAGAAATTAAGATCCAGGAAAGCAAGGTCTGGAGTAAGAAGGCCCCTGGGTCTCCAAAACAAAGGGGCATTTGGGGCTTGAAGGCTGAATGCCTACAGCTATGTTTTTGTTTGGCTTGTACAGTGTTGTCTAAATTGTCCAATTAATTGTCAGCAGTTAAAAATCAGGAGATGTTACGTTAAAATCCAGATTTGGGGTTCCTCTTTAAAAAAAAAACAAATCGGCACATCCACAAAACAAGGATTTTCATTCTCGAATGACAAAATCGGATGAAGCTGTGTGACAGCTGCTTCTTTTAATAGAGATGACCTCTCCAGAACCCACACTCCAGATCCCAGGCATCTGGCGGCCCAGCTCATCTAGGTGTGCTACCTGCCTGAGGTTGTAACCCCACTCCAGAGCAGAATCTCCAGTCCCTGAGGAGCAATGGTCATCATTCAGGAGCAAACTGAAGGAGGACGGACTGCTCAGCACCTCATAGGAAAGTCAGCAGAAGCAAGGTGTATGTCCACATCGATGGTGGAAGTGTCCCCCACACTGTGAGCTCCTGGTGCAGGACCTATGTGCTTCCAAAATGTGCCTGCAGCTCTGGAGCACAAAGAGTGAATGTCTGCAAACAGTGTATAGGGAGATGGTGTCAAGGGAGCAGGAGGCACCACGAAGTGTGTGACATGTTCCCAGGTCCCCACCCCAGGTAGGGTCACTCTTGCCTAGGGAGGCTCTGCAGCTGGAGTCCACCTGCAAGAAGCTGTATGAGGATACAGCAGAAAAGAAGCCCATGGGGCAGGTGGCATCTGGGGACAGGGACTGTTGGTGGGACAGGGCCAGACACCAAAGATGGGCAGGTATTTCTCCCCCTGGTACCTAAACAGACATCAAACAATGGACATCTTCCAAGGCCAGAAGCAGCAGTTCCCACTATAGGCAACACCTCACCCCCACTCACCACCACCCTTAGAAAGCGCCCTGGACTCCAAGTTTGTAAAACCACATCAAGACATCCTTGGACCTTCAGGCTCCTGAGCTGGGCAGTCCCCTCCTGCCCAGAGTCTGGCTCCCTCTCTCCAACCTCTGCTACCCCCAAGAATACAGAGACTCCCAAAAGACCTCCCTCCAGTACAAAGACCTCCCCAGCACCAGCTCCAACCTTCTGGACCCAGACCAGAGCACATCACTGAGTCGCACTATCCTTGCAGGTGCCCAGGAGACCTGAAGCCAAAAGCAAAAGGGCTCTGGGCAAGACATGGGGACCTTGTACCACAAAGAAAGCAGCGCCAGGAGCAGTGTGTGTCCCTTGGACCTGGGATCCCTGCACTGAGAAGCTCCTCAACCAGGGGAAAACTGGACAAGAACCTTCCTCCAGAGCTGACGCCCTGTATTTGGACTTGTAGTCTACTGGACTGTGAGAGAATAAACTTCTCTTTGTTAAAGCCAAAATAAAGGGGGGTACTCTGGGCTGGGAGGCTGGGTAAGAGGAGCAGGCCAGGGCCCTCAGTCAGCCCACCGCCTCAGGTACACCCACTGCCAGGTCAGGTCCTCCTGGGAGTAAACCCTGCCTCCCAGGCCACCAGCTGTGCCCGGCTATCTTCAAAACTCCAACACGTTCTCGGGCCTCAGAGCCCAAACCATGGTTATGGGAACAAGGCAGAGGAGAGGAAAGGGAGCGGGGCTGGGCAGGTATCAGAGTTGGAGAGAGCCCTAGGCCGGGATCAGGAAGTAGGGGCGGGGGAGGAACCCAGGTTCCAGATGCCTGAGCCACGTAGGAGAGGAGACCAGAAGAGGGAAAAGCAGAGGAGGCCACTGTTCTGAAAGCGCAGCCGCGCACCTGTTGCCTTCGCGGGTGTGCCCGCAGTGAGGCCACGGCCAGGACGGCGGCGGCCCAGTCACCGGCGAGGATTTCCCTCCAGCCAGGCCTAGCCCAACTCCGCTCCTTTCCTGGGCAAACAGCGCCCACCTCTGGCCCAGGCGGCGATGCCTCCGCCCATGGCGGGCACACCGAGAGAGAAACCGGCTCCTGCGAATCAAAAGGAAGAAAAGCGCCGGCTGAGGCACTTAGAGGCCGCAACGGCGAAACGCGGCGCGCACCGATTATGCCCGAAGAGGGAGGCAGGGCGGGCTCGTGCCGCCAGGCGCTCCTTGGCTCGTGACGAGAAAGACACCGGCCCACCGAGGTCAGAGGAGATGCACCAACTCAGGTACCCAGAACGCAGCAACCCCACCTACAAACACCGGAGAAACAAAGCGGGCCCGAGCCACACGAGCCTACGCGCAGACCAGCGCCCAGCCTGAGCGGTTGGCGGAGGGCGACCACGCGCCCATCGAGCCAGGACAGAGCCGTACAACCCCGCAACACACCCCCGCAAGGAGCCCAGCTCGCCGCGCTCACACGCTCTCCGGCCCAGCCCCGCAGCGCCAAGCCATTCCCAGCGCCACTGTCTCCGTGCTTCTGCGCGGGCCACGCGACCCCCAGGGTGCACGGGGGCCTGCGCCAGGCCCAGCTCGCACGCAGACCGCGGCGCCCCGCCTGCCTCCGCTGCTGCGCAGCCTCGCAGGCCGCGGCCAAGTCGGCCCTAGGCGCCGACGGCCACTCACCTTCCTGCACCGCCTGGAACGGGTTGTTGGCCTCGATGACCTTGATGGAGTAGGTGATCTTCTCACTCTGCAAGATGTCATCGTTGAGACTCAGGTCGGAAACTGCCAGCTGGAACACCCTGTCGTCTTTGGCCGCGTTCTCCTCGAAGATGGCACCTGGGGGAGAAGACGGGTCAAGACCGGGCATGGAGAAGAGTCCTCTTTCCGACTCCCTCTGCTCTCGGGTCACAGCGCTGGCAGAACCGCGGCTTCAGCGTGGCGGGTGGTTTAAGGCTTTCTCCAGTCAACCCGCACAGGAATATGCTCCCTCCCCGCACAGCGTACACGTGCACACAGTTGACACGAGTTACACATGCATGTCGCACATGCTGCCACCAGGTCACACACGTGTCTCACAACCAGGCACCACATGTCCCAGCCATGCCCCATACGATGGGCCGAGCCAAGCTGGGGTGGCCTTAGGCAGCACCCAAATGCCCTGGTTGCATCCCAGGAACCAGGAAGTTACCCCAGGAGGGCAGTGTTCCCCACACCCATCCCAGCGTAGAATGACGACTCCCTGCCCTACGGGTCTTCCGCCGAGTGCAAGAGGCCGAAGCAGGACCCCAGCCGGCTTTCCTGGGCCAAGGGGCTTCTTTACGGGAGGGGCCTTGAACAGCCGGCAGCTCAGCCCCAGCTCTGCCCTGACGAGGGCCACTGTCGGGCACAGGGCCCAGAAGCCGCGCGAGGCTCCCCGACCGGGCGCCCTGGGCTCGGTCCCCTGCTCTCCATCCGTCTCCCGCTTCCTCTTCCTGTGGGTATGTTGGGAAGGGGTTACCCTAGACCTCTGCGCGTTCTCACCTAGCAAGGGTGAAGAGTGTCAGAAGGAGCCGCTCTTCAAAGAGCCTTCTAGAACCGCGGACAGCTCCTGCAGGGCGCCCTAGGGCCGGAGCTTTGCGAGCGTAACACCACCTGGCCATCCCTGAGCTGACAGCCGAGATCCGTCCGATTCGCCTGGGCTGTTCCAGAGCCCCCGCCCCTCGCCAGGCCCCGAGGGTCCCTGCGACCCCAGGCTAGGGCCGGTGATGCCCCGAACTGGGGGCTGGACGGAAGGACGGAGAGCCAGGTTCCACGCTGCACCCGGAGCCGCAATGCTGACTGCGAGACCCGCGCCCCGCCGAGACCGGGAAACAGGTTTGGCCCCGGTACCTGCGGTGGACGTAGGAGGTCACCTAGCCAAGGCCCAGTGCCTCCCCACGCGACCCTATCCCCGCCCGGCTTGTCCCGTCATCCCTGCCTTCTCACACCTCCCAACCCCCTGCTTCTCTGTGCCCGCTCGTCTTTCCCAACTTCCGGAAAGGCGACTGCGGAGGGACTCCCCCAAGTCGACCGCTCTCAGCCCCCAAACCAGTCCAACTTTCCGGGATTCCTCTCTTGCTGCTGCCAGCTCCTATCCACAATCCCGCTGCATGCCCCTCCTCATCTCCTCTCTCATCCTCTCTCCTGGATCTCTCTCTCTCTCTCTTTCCATCTTTCTCTTCCCGCTCAGTGCCCCTCCCCCGCCGCCCACGCTTCTACCTTCGGTTCCCACCACCCCGACCGTCTGCAGGACCTGAGACTTGGACTACGAAACTCTGGGACTGTCCAGGATGGAACTGCAGTCGCCACAACGAGGGACACAGGCGCGCGCACACACACATACAAACACGCACCGAAAGCTACAGAGACACACACCGGGGAAACAAGTGGACACTGTGTCCACTCTAACAGGCTGACAGTCGTGCACGCACCAACACACGCTCAGATGGCCCCACACACCCCAACGCCCTCTCGCAGTGACACCAACACAGTGCCTAGCGCACACACAGCAATGTACGCTGACGACACCCACCTGCCCACACTCACACACGGTTCCGGTCCTCTGATCCTGCCCAGCCAACTTGGCGAGCCCAGGGGCCGTTGCCGCTCCCTTCCCCCCTCCCCCGCACCCGCACCCCAGCTACTCTGAGATACCCAAGCCCACCG